ACCGTGGTTTGCGTCCTGGACCCGGTGGCTTAAAATTCACGCCGGGCGCGTGTGCGTGTGTGCTCAAGATCCCGAGAGGAGAATGGTGGAGAAGGAAGTGTGGCGTGACCATCCCCCTGGGGGGTGATTTCTCGCTTTCTGTCTCTCTGTCTGTCTGGCGAGCGCACGCGCCCTATAGCGAAAATCTATAAAAAAAAAAAAAAAGAGGTTGAGCATTTCTTTATATGCTTTTTGGCTGTTTGTATGTTTTCTTTAGAGAGTTGCCTGTTCAGCTCATTTGCTCATCAGTCCCTTTTCTGAGGTATAGCTTAAAAATATATTCCCCCATTCCAAAGGTTGTTGATTCACTCTAATTATTATTTATTTTGCTTTGCAGATGCTTTTCAACCTGACGTAATCCCACATTGGACTATATGAAAACATGGAGAGCAACTGTGGATACCGGAGATGGTGTGGGAGGAGGGTGGGTTATGGCAAAGGGTTAGAGAGAAGGAATCAAGGGGGAAAAAGAAGTAAATACATAAGAAACTCAAAAAATAAATGAATAAATAAATAATGGCTTTCACAATTGTCTTAAAATGATTGTTTAATGTTACTGTTCGTTTTGTCCCTTTATTCTATTTTAATTTAGATAAATAGCTCATACATTATTTGAAACGTGACATTTTAAACTTTTTATTTTAAATTTATTTTTATTTATTTGATAATTTGTTTTACTCATTATTATTGCTCTCAACAGTATAACATTGCATTTTGAAAAAGATTCCAGGCAACTTTGTGTATATATGTGTGTGCTGTGACTCATATTATAGGTTTTTCTGGTTATGTACTCATGACTAAGTTGAAGTTAAACAATTTTCATAAGAATTGTACCTTTAAAACCCCCGAAGCACAGGTAATAACCCCCAAAATAGACAGGTGGGATTACATTAGATTAAAAAGTTCCTGCACAGCAAAGGACACAGTAATTAGTGCAAACTGACAACCCTTGAATGGTAGAAAATTTTTGTTAACTATACCTCAGATTAGGGAGTGATAACCAAAATACACAGGGAACTCAAGTAACTTATCTGGAAGAAAATGATTAACTCAATTACAAGATGAGAAAATGAGGTGAATAAACAACTCTAAGGAAGACATATTAACAGCCAAAAAGCATATGAAAAAAAAGCTCAACATTCCTCATCATAAGAGAGATGCAGATCAAAGCTACAATGAGATACCACTTAACCCCAGTCAGAATGGTGAAGATTAAAAAGATCCAGAGAATGATAAGTGCTGGCAGGTATGGGGTGAAAGGGAGCTCTCCTAGATTGTTGGTGGGAATATAAATTGGTCCAGTCAATGTGGAGAACAATATGGAGGTTCCTCAAAGACCTTCAAATGGAACCACCATATGATCCAGCAATCCATTCCTGGGTATCTACCCAAAGAACAGGAGCACTCTCAGTCAGAAAAACACTTGCACAACTATATTTATTGTGGCATTATTCACATGTCCACGAACAGATGAATAAATTGAAAAAGTGTGACACATATACTCCATGGAATACTATTTAGCTATAAAAAACAACAAGCCCCTGGCATTTCATAGAAAGTGGACAAACATGGAAGATTTATTGCTGAGTGAAGCAAGTCAGGCTATGAAACAGAGACATTGTATGTCTCCACTTAACATATGCCAACTGTCTACACTCTACAGTAGAGACTGAAAGACTGGAGGACATAAAAAAATTGAAAATTGTTAGGAACACTGGGGACAAAGCAGAAGGACAGTGGAAGCGGGGAAGACTGCAGGAAGGAAAATTTGGGAATAAAAGGAAAAGTAAGAGATTTCTGGGACACAGATATGGTTTGTTGCCTGTTGATGATGTCATGTATAGTAGTCTCAACTCACCTGATGTGCGGCATAGATCATGTTGGGTAAAATATCTTTACAATCTAAGTGATATATAGCAATTTAATATATATATATAATAATTTTAAGAAAAGAATTGTACATATATAATGTTGTATTATTATTGTTGATAATAGAAGTTTTAATGGTCAGATTATCTAATTACCAATCTTTACTGTTTTGGGTATTTATTATTTTCTATTTAGTAAATAAGTTCTACAGTAAATTTTGAAAGTTTCTTTTTATTTCTATTTCTTTTATACATTCAATCACATTACTTAGCTTACAAAATGAATATTTTTACTTATGTACATTTCTAACCAGTCCTGTTCACCATACTAGATAGAACATTATCTTCAATAGATAATAATCTGTTTCTTTGTCCCATAAATGCTTTACCTCTCTATTTTTCTCCTTAATGTCCTGCCTCAGACTTTACTTCTTCACCTCCCCTCTTCCCACTCTGTATCTGGTATTCATAACCATTTACTTAGTTTCTATAAACTTTAGTCATTCAGTTTTGGTCATAGAGTGCAGACACTCGATATATATTAAATGGAGAAATGCAATGTCTCTTCTTCATCACCTGGCTGACTATTCAGTTTCTCAACCAATCCAATGAGCACTTGTTGGTTATTCTTTTTTATGATACTTAGTTGCCACAAAAGTAGTTTTTAAAATTTATCTGCTTTTGCACTTAATACATTCGTCCGTAAAGTTTTTAATTTCATTTTTTCCTTTCTTCTGAGTATCTATAGACTATTTTTTAGAAAAGAATCAATTAGTTATTATTCATTGTTTTCAAAGTTATTAATAATTCTTTAGAGTTTTATAAGAGGTTGAATGTGCTTGTTGGAGAAAGACTAAGAGAAAGAGAGAGAGAAAGAAGAGAAAGCACTTCCTCATGAGGAATGGTTATGCTGCAATTATTTCTCTTTCATCAATCTCTCTCTTTTCAGGATTTTGGGCCTGCATACACACATACACACATGTATTTCTCAAGCAGCTGCATCTAGGACTCATACTGCTCAGATGGCCACATGAGATCTAGCCTTTTTTATATATATATATAATTTTTTTTTTTTTTGCCATAGGGTATGTGCTCTCACTGGAGAGATACAGAGAGGAGGAAAGTGAGAAATCTCACCTCTTACCCTTGAGGAGGGGAATGGCCACACATAATCCCTTTTCCTCTAGTTTTCTCTCAGGATTTTTAGCATGTATGTACATGCATCTTGCATGATTTTCAAGCTGCTGTATCTGGAGCTTGAACTGTGGTTAGCAATGTGGGAATCCAGCACCTTAACCACCACACCACCTGCTGGCCCTTAAAGCAATAATTACTAATGTCTCAATTTTCACTGTACATTTGGTTACTGCTAATCCCTTCAATGGATTCTGTGTGTATTTATTTTTAGTACATGGCTTCACTCTCTTTGTGTTCTTTATATTTCAGGTACAATCTATTTCAATATTGCCTGTATTTTCCATACTACATACTTTGACTTAGTCATCTCCTCCAGGATATCAGGTTGTTTGCAGTGGAGAATGGCACTTAGACAGCAGTAGGAGAGTGTTAGCTCTGTTCACTGCTGCCACTGTCATTGTTCTTGGGCACTTTCAGTACACGGGGGTAGAAAATTCATAGATACTTTTTTTTTTAATAGAGATTTTTCCTATAGGGCACATGTGCTCGTCAGAGAGACAGAAAGCGAGATGGCTATGCTGCAATCCCTTCTCCTCCATTCTTCTCTCGGGATCTTACGCATGCATGCACACATGCCCAGCATGAGTTTTAAGCCACCAGGTCTGGGACTTGAACCATGGTTGACTATGTGGAGAGTCCAACGACATAATCATTATGCCATCTACTGGTCCCAACATTTTTTTTTAATAAATATACCTTTTTCCCCTATTTTTAGTGACAATGACTGAATTTTAGAGTTTATTATTTTCCCCAAAAAACTGTTAAAATAACTTCCTAATTTGTTTCCTTGCTTTCTGTTTCTTTACCACTTTCAACATTCTAATTTATAAGTTAAGTCTGCATGCCCTTCACAATGTGGTAGACTTCCATGGCTGATTTCTAAATGACAATTGAAGACTGTTTCAATCAGGTCTGAAAGTCTTTCCTCCCATCTGCCACAGATTTCTCAACTGGCCATCATTTAACTAATTTCTAGGAAGTCTCCCTCTAACGCAGACACATACAGATTATGCTGAACCACCTCTGACCACTTTTCCACAAATACATAAAATTTTCCCGCACTTTAGTTTCAGTTGTAATTTTTTTTCTTTTATTGGTATTGCTTTAAGTATGGCTTTTTTGGTAGACAAATCTCTATTCACTTTTTAGTCTTCTTCTTATATGGATCATTTCTTATTTCCTTTTGCTAGGACACTAAACTCTCTTCTGAGTTTTATTCTTTATTTTCTTTCTTTCTTCTTCTTCTTCTTCTTCTTCTTCTTTTTTTTTTTTTTTTTTTTTTTTTTACTAATGTGTTTGCTCTAGAGTGTGTGCTTGCTGGAGAGAGTCAGAGAGAGACAGTGAGAGAAAAAGTGAAAAGTTACACCTCAGGGGGGATGACCACATTACAATCCCTTCTCCTCCATTCTCCTCCTGGGATTTGGGATTTGGGGCACACATGCACACATTCCCCAGATGATTTTCAAGACCCTGGATCTGGGCTTCAAACTGCCGTAGGCCATGTGGGAGTCTAGCACCACAACCACCATGTCACTTGCTGGCCCCAACACTCTTCTAATTTTCTATAGAACTTAGTGTGTGCCTGTTACAGTCTTATTATATGTTTTAATATAATGGCATATTTACAGGACTGTGTCATTTAATAATAGAAGAAACTACATGTAGTTCAACTTACTTTATTCCAGTGATGAGCACAGACTTTTTTCAAAAGTAAACACTGAATACAAATCCAAAGTTAGTGAGTGCAGAAGGAATGAAGACCGTTCTTCACCTAGCAATCTTATGGGTTAAATTCTCTCATTACACTTTGGATCATAGATCTGGGTCAGAACGCTGAGAAAACAACAAGACATAAGGTATGATTGTTTGGCCGTATTTTTAGCTTATATCCTATGGTCAGTTTTTTACTTCATGCACTTGCCTCTTCTTTCTTAACTCTTTGAGCATGGCCTCCCTGATGGGCTTGGATTTGACACTATAAATGATGGGGTTGAGTACAGGTGGGATCAACAAGTACACATAGGCTACCAGAGCATGTACAATGGAGGGCAGATGCTTTCCAAAACGATGGATAATGGACACACCTATGGCTGGGATAAAGAAAACCAGGACAGCTAAGATATGAGACACACAGGTATTGAGAGCTCGGACACGCTCTCTGGGAGAAGCCAGACCCAGGACTGTGCGAAGGATGAGGGTATAAGACAGGACAATGAGCAGGGAGTCTATGCTTGCAGTGGACGCTACAATATACAGCCCATAGAATATGTTTATAGTGATATCATCACAGGCCCGCCTCATCACATCAGGGTGAAAACAGAAGGAGTGGGACAAGAGGGTCTTGTCTGGACAGAAATTCAGTCGCTTCAGCAAGAAGGGCACAGGGAAGAGGGACAAAGAGGCTCGCGTCACAACAGCTAGCCCAATCTTGATGATGACATTATTTGTGAGGATGGCTGCATAGCGCAGTGGCTTAGAAATCGCTAAAAAGCGATCAAATGACATGGCCAGGAGCACTGAGGACTCCACTACAGAGAAGGTGTGCAGGAAGAACATCTGGGCCAGGCAGGAATTGAAGCCAATGAGCCGATAGTCAAACCAGAGAACACCCAGGGTGGTGGGCAGTGTGGACAAGGTGAGTCCCATATCAGTGAGGGCCAGCATGGACAGGAAGTAGTACATAGGCTGGTGCAGGCTGGGGGTCCTCCTTATAGCCAGGAGGATCAGGCAGTTTCCAGTGAGGGCCACAGTGTACATGGAGGAGAAGGGGATGGAGATCCAGCCATGAGCGGCCTCGTGCCCTGGGATGCCAATGAGGAGGAAGGCAGGTGGCTGGAAGAAGGAGATATTGATGTCGGCCCGGGAAGGGAGCATGCTCAGAAGGCAGTTGCAGGCTCCAGGAAGTCCTGACCTCTTCAATCTGTGCACATGCGAAGAGGATCTAGGATGATTAAAAAAAAGGAGAGAGGTCAAACATCGGTCAAAAGCCTAAAAATTACATTTTACAATTTTTAATACTATTTACTCGTGTGTGTAGAAAGTACGGTAATAACAAACAACCTTCACTCATTACCTATTTTATTGTATTCCAGGTATTACGGTAATGCATTCATATTGACTTAAAAATTTTATCAGAAAAATTACTTTTTTTTGATATCTTTTGAGACATAACCTTTTTCAATCAGGATTGGAAACACAAAATTTATGATAATATTACATGCTTTTACTTAGTTTTCAAAAGTTCATCATAACGAAGGTTGATGCCTAGATGTGCTGGTGGAACATGATTCTTTCTGCCAGGAAGTCATCCTTAGAGTTCAGAGAACCTAGTTAGTGTCTTCTTTTGTACAAATTGAAGTTTTGTTATTCCTATATGCCTGGAAGGAAATGGAGAATGCATATTTGGAAAGAGAAGAGTAGAATTGACTCAGCTATGCACAGAGAAATGGGATGAGAGTTTACTCAGCCCTACAGAGGGTAAGTCTTGGTGAGTGAAGAGCTGTTCTGTTAAGTTTTTCTCTTTGTTTTCTCTGTCTGAGATAATTTCTTCCTGAGGTAAATCTTGTTTTTCTTATCAATGTTTCTATGATCAACTTTCAAAGTGAAATAAATTAATGAGTTGTGCTTGTGCATTTTTTACTGGTTTTTCTATGCTCAGAGTCAACAAAGAAATTAAACTAGACCTCATTTTCCCTCCTATTACACAAATGAGGAAACTGAGAATCCAGAGATATGGTTTCTACAGTGTTTGATTAGCTCATAAATTGTGGGCCTGGAATTTGAATCCTGTTCCTTCTGATTCCAAGTCCGGAACTCTTTCCTGTGGCTTCTTTAGATAAGACAAAGTATGTAACAAACTGTCTGTCATGCATGCCCTACAAATGTGAATTTTGTTACTATTTTTTTTATCTAACACTTTCAGCTTCTCAAAAACCTTTCACTACCATTACCTCTTTAATCCTCATAACATAGGCACTGAAGGGATTACCGTTTGAACTCTAGGGATGATGTAATTGAGGGCCCAGAGAATAGCTTGTTCATGTTACTCCTCTGCTAAAAATCATAAAATGGCTCCCTAAAGCACTCTGACAACATCCCTGTGATGTGGCCTGCAGATTCCTGGGAGCTAGCACCTGCCTGAGTCTTCACTGTCATGTTGCACTACCTATTGCTTGGCGTTCTTTAGCATTCTACTCTTCATTCAATTTTTAGATTGATGCTACTACTATTCTCTCATGTTGGGGTCTTGTGGTCTGTGGTTTCCTTCTTGCTTTACCCTTAGCTGGCTTCTCATTCTTTCAGCTCTTAATCATCCTTTTCATGGGTCTTTGAATGACTTCATTCATGATCCTTATAGCACACACTTAATTTCCTTTATACCACACAATGAATTTTTAAGACTTACAATTCTCTTTTTGATGTTTTTGAATTTATCTCATTACATGTTAAAATCTGTGAATATAGTAACAATGTAGGTGCTTTTATTATTTTTTTAAATTTTTTTTATAGGTTGTGTGTGCTTGCCAAAGAGGGAGAGACGAAGACAGTGAGAGGGAAAGTGAGAAATCACCCTTAGGGTGATGGCCACACCCAACCCCTTCTCCTTCATTCTTCTCTCCTCTCAGAATTTTGGACACACCTGCACATGTGCCTGGCATGATTTTAAGGCTGCTGGTTCTGGGACTCAAACCATGGTCAGACATGAGGAAGTTCAACACCTTAGCCATCATGCCATCTACTAGTCCCGGCAATCATACTTTTTTTCTTGCTAACATGTAATGCTTGCATATTGTAATAGCTACAACAGAGTAATTTTCCAGTCAACTTCTGCTAATTTGAGTGGATAAATAATAGAAAAGCCTGTAAATTCATGATGAAAAAGCAAATAAAAGGGGAACTCTGGTCCTTTAGACTCCAAATACTAGAATCAGTGGCTGGTTTGGATGAAGAGGGAGAATGAGGCCCTATTCCAAGTAATCACACACTATACAGTTGGGGTAAATTTGACATGAGCTTGTTTGATTTACAGATGACTATATGTAGAGAAAAAATTTAAGAAGAGTTTGGTTAGGTTTCTGAACAAAGGATCTTTACTATGGCAATGAAGAATCTCACATATTTGGATCTCTCTATGCCTTGCCATAAAAGTCTGCTGGGGATGTGTGGAGACAAATGTGTGGTCACAACCTTGTCAACACATGATCTACATAAAATTAAGACAGGTGGATATCTTACCTTCAATTCATTCTACTTGCCCAGGGGACTTTACATCTATGCTCTCCCTCTCCTTGTTCAGTCACTAAGTACATTGCTCATAATCTCATCAGTTCTCCTATGGTTTCTTAGAACAGCTACTCAGCTGACATCCTTGCTCTGACCTTACAGAAACACCTCTCTCCCTAATCCTGTTAGAAAGTCCTCAAGCTGTCTCCACCATTTTAATCTCCCCATGTGCCCCCTCAAACTGGCACACGTTGTCCCAGTGAATTGTGTACTAATTTTTTGTGTCCATCCATCAATACATAGCTGTAGTTCGTTATTGGCACTTGAGCATACATTTTTGCAAGTTTCTAGAACTAGAACACCCAAGATAACTGCAGTTAAGAGACCCATAGGTTTGCTCTCTAGTCTAGCAGTTCTGAAGTAACACTAACCCAGACCATGAAATGAATACATTTCAGCTTTTTTTAATATAGAAAGTTAGAGGAGAGATTTTGAAATAATCTGTGCTGCCCTCTCATTGGGTGATGCTGCATATATGTGACACATATTAGGGATTCAGTTAGGTCTAGATGACTTCGACAGTCCTATTCTGTTTTGAGTAACTTCCATGTCATATGTACAATAGAAATAAATTTAATATACTATCCTCAGCTTGGAAACAACATTGTGAGGTAGATCCATGTTTCTACATTTATACATATGAAGACATTGTAGCATGGAGAAATCAAGTCTTGATCTAGGAGACATGATAGGACAATTTAATCTTGTTTTTGTTTGATACCAAATTCCTTGTCCATTCAAATAAGCTACACTATTGGCAACAGATTGTACTTGGTGTCAGATTTAGTTTATTCTCATAGTCCCTAGTTTAATCCTCTGTCAAATCAGAGCCCTTGACTACATTTTCTATCCTCTGAGGTCTGTCATATGATGATTAAAAATCCAGTGTTTTTGAAATTCAGTTTTTATTTATTTTCCCACCTTTTCACTTTGCTCTGTTTTTGTCCTTCCTCTCAGGCTGTCTTGATGTCACTTTTTTTGTTTAGCCACTCCAACCTCAAGCATTTTGTCTTTCCTTCTTTTCATTAATTTATACCTTTAAAATATCCTGTTCACACAATTACAAAGGAATTTCTGATCTATCTCTCTTCTCAACTAGTTTGAGCTTTCCAAAAACAGTAATTTGGATTCATAGTGACAAAGCTCTATTCAACAGAATTTGCTACATAAGGTGGGTAATTTCATGTGTCAACCTGGCTAAGCCAGGGTACCTGGCTTTTGGTTAAGCATCACTGTACATGTAGACTGTGAAGAATTTTTCCTTATATGTGATTAAAGTTTAAATCAATAGACTTTGAGTAGAAGTAATTACCCTGTATAAAGTCAGTGGGCTCCACCTAACCAGATGAAAGCCTTAAGAGATAAGACTGAAGTTCTCTGAAGAATTGCACTGCAGTTGCATTCAGACTCCTGACTGCAACAGCAACAACTCTTCTCTGGGTCTCTGGCTATCAGTCTGCCTGTAGATTTCAGACTGATCAGTCCCCACAATTGCATGAATCAATTTTTAAAAATAAGTCTTTCTTTCTCTCTTCACCTACACACACACACACACACACACACACACACACAGAGCCAATTGATTTTGTTTCTCTGGAGAATACTCTCTAACACAGAGTACAAATCAGAAAATCAATCAGGAATGAATAAAATATTCACCAGAGAAATCTGTGGACCATACTGTTTATTGCCAAACAGAACATTGGTTATTTTTTTTCTGGAATTTTTGCCTAGAAGGTCTTAGACACATTAACCACAACTACTTTGAATTACCCATTTAGGCATCTTACTTTGAAAGAGTCTGGATTTCTGAACCCTTTGTTAAGGTAGTTTATCCATGGACTCCATAGAAAGGGAGTCGTCATGTTTTCTTCTCCATATTGAATATGGGACCTACATCTGTGGTTTGTAATACTCAGATCTCCTTCTATCTCTGCTACCTGTACCTTCTGTCATTATTTTTTCTTTGATTCTTCTCTGTTTGGGGGACAGAGGAGGGAGTGACAAGGAGCCCTCCAGCACTCTGAAAATAGAGAATGGTGTGAGTCCAGACTTTGTTCACTCACCCTGGCTGCTGCTCCAGGCTGGTCTGTGGTACCACATCCTACAAATGTCCAGAGATCTTCCTCAGCTAAGATTCTCTTCTTTTATGGTGTTACAGAGAATGCAGCCCATCCCCAGGGATATGGAGCTTTGAGCCAAAGACAAATTGCTGTCTGTTGAATTACCCCCTCAGGATAAAAACCTCCAATTGAAGGCTGCAGGGAATATTGAAAAGAAAGTAAATCACAGGGAAGTTACAAGTATGAAAAATAAGAATTCTACAGAATGTTGAAAGTCTTTAGTTATCCAGGCAACCCTCTAACACATGCTTTCAACAGACGTTCACATAATTTTTTGAAAAAGTGTGTCACTAAATACTGTGGAAGAGCACAGATAGCCAAACCCAGAGTCAGAATACTGGGGAAAAATAAATACATTAAAGATTCTGTAAGAAAAAGTTCAAGTCTGTTTTATAGAAAGAGAAGCAATATTCACCAAAAAGCCTTCAAAAACTGAATGAACACGCTGTTTGAACACGAGACCTGCCAACCAAGATGCTGGAAATCAGGAAGTTGAAAGTTCCTGAATACCCCAAAAGATAGATGCATAGCAGAAAGTGGAGATGGAATACTCACAAATTCAGCAGCCTGCTGAATCATTAATGTACCTAGTGGTTTCAGAGGTCTTGGTCCTGTCAGCACACCCTCTGCAAAGTAAAAGTATGGTATCTTGTACTTCTTCCCACGAAGAAAGGGTCTCTGCACCTTCTGGTTTTCTTTTAATTTTGGAGACAGGACACAGTACACTTTGCAGTGATTCTTTACTCATTAACCTGTTTACCTGGTAACTCTCCTTTTCAACAGATTTTTCTGTGTGATCCCTTTCTTCTTATGCAGACTTGCCCTCTACCATTTTGCTCTCTTCTCTAGTCATACTTAACCACTCTTTCTCCCACAAAATCAATAGACTCATCCTTCACTTCATAAAGTTCCCTCCCACTACTGTCTCTTTACTTTCCCACACTATTGCATGTTATTACTATTATCATTTATTTATCATTATTTATTTATTAATTTTTTTGGGAGAAATTTTTGTTTTAAGACATGTGCAGTCGTCAGAAAGACAGAAAAACAGAGAGACAGAAAGCAAGAAATCACCCCCCAGGGGAGATGGCCATGCTGCAATCCCTTCTCCTCCATTCTCCTCTTGGGATCTTGGGCACGCATGCACAAACACCCAGTGTGAGTTTAAGCCACCGGGTCTAGGATTCGAACTGCGGTCGACTACATGGCAGTCCAGTGACATAGCCATTATGCCAACTGCTGGTCCTGATTATTTTTTATTTATTTTGAACATTTAATTACTATACATAGCATCAGCTAGTAAAATAAACTTTTCCAGCATAAATACCTTGCAGATATTGTCATACACATTATCAACAGGCAAGTCTCCATTTCTGTGTGCTTTAAGTGTCTTGCCTCTGTATTTTTCTCCTTTATATCCTTCCTCTCATCTTTCCCCATCTCCCATCTCCTCCCACATGGTTCGCTGGCATTCACAATCATTCTTTATGCTTCCATATTCTCCAATCTTTCAATTTCCATCATAGAGCATGGTCATTCAGTATATATTAAGTGGGGACATTCAATGTCTTTTTTTTAAAATAATATATATTTTCCACAAACTTTTTGAAGACTTCCCACCAAATGAATAGAGTCTTCTTTACTTAATTAATCCCCTGTTGGTGAATCTTTTTTTTTTTTAATTAAATTTTTTTATTTTAAATTTTTTACATACATACAATCACATTATTTAGCTTACAAAGTGGACATTTAAATATATGAGCATTTCTCCCTAGTCCAGTTGATCAAAATATCTTCAACTGATAACACCACACCTCCCCATCCCATCAATGCTCTGCCTCTGTATCCCTCCTCCAAATGTCCTTCCTTAGGTCCTGCTTCTCCACACATGGCATCTGGCACTAACCCCCATCTCTTGTGTTTGTACAACCTTAGATCAATCAGTTTCAGTCAGAGAGTGCAGACACTTGATATTTATTAAGAGGAGACATACAATGTCTCTCCTTCATAGACTGGCTTGCTTCACGCAGCAGCAAATCTTCCATCTTCTTCCACTTTCTGTCAAAAGCCAGGTTTTTTTTTTATGGCTGAATAGTATTCCATAGAGTACATGTGCCACAGTTTCTCAGTTCATTCACCCATACGGGAGCATTTGGGTTGGTTCCATGTCTTAGCAATTG